GGGGCCGGTCCGCGGGCTGACGCGCCTTGGATGTGACTTTCCCTACTTGCTCGCCACTTCTCTCCAGCTGCCTCGTTTTGGCCGCGCTCCTTCTAGGCCCTGCTGACGTCAAAACATGACAAAAACCCACAAAAATCCTTCTGGCCTTCCACAGACTATGCGCCCCGTTATTATTTCTTGGTTGAAAAAATTGTGATCAAGTTTACTTAGCATTCGCTATGTGCCAGGCACCATGCTAAGCACTTCACTCTTTGAAAGTGCATTTAGTCCTCACAACGGCTGGTTCCGACCCTGTACGCAGAGCAATTAAGTGACTTGCCCAAGGTCAAAATTGAGATTTAAACCCGCTGCACTGGGTCTCATAGCTCTCTATGGGGCAGGTACAGCATTTTAGCATTCAATGCTATATCCTCCGTTTCTAGAACAAGGCGAGGTATGTATAAGTGCTCCGTAAATATTTGTTGAATGAATGAATGAATGACCGAAAGAATAAAAACCTTCAGACCGTGAAAAGACAATATCTGAACGTCAACATTCCTCAGATAACAGTGCTCAGAACATTTATAAGACCCACCCGGAGGTCAGGGCCTTTGTCCCAGCAGAAGCTTGCTGCCTGGCAGTATGAAGCTCATGCAGACATTTAGGGTGTGACTCCCCCTCTTCCTGCCAGGAGGGACTGATCCGTGCATGGAACAGCATCTCCACCCAAGGGTTTGCGAAGATCCATTTGAATTCAGTCAACAAGTGTTTACTGAGTAGAGTGTTGTGGAGCACGATTCCAGGCACTGAGGGAACAGCAGGGAACAAAACAGATGGAAATTCTAGTCCTTGTGGAAATGACATTTAAAATCTTTTTTAAAATGTGAACTACTTTGAACATTGCTTGGTATCTAGGAATAGCTCAAAATTATTAGTTAGCCTATATAATAAAAGGCTAATATGCAAATGACCGAGTGGTGGAATGACCAGTCACTATGATGCGCACTGACCACCAGGGGGCAGACACTCAATGCAGGAGCTGCCCCCTGGTGGTCAGTGTGCTCCCGCTGCTCAGCCAGAAGCTGGGCTCAGGCTGGGGAGCACAGTGGCAGTGGTGGAAGCCTCTCTCGCCTCTGTGGCAATGCTAAGGATGTCTGACTGAAGGCTTAGAGGGCCTAAGCCTTCAGCTGGACATCCCCCCCCCAGGGCTCCCGGATTGTGAGAGGGCACAGGCAAGGCTGAGGGACCCCCCCCCCCAAGTGCATAAATTTCATGCACTGGGCCTCTACTGACTATTATAATTATCAACCTACTTAATATATAAAATGAGCATTCCAATGTATTTTTTTAATAATTGGACACTTTCCCTTGTGTATTTAGACAGCAAAAGTGAGAAGTCCCGAGCGGCAGCAACCTTTTGCCACGTGCTTCTCCCATGAGGCCTTGGTCAGAGTCCTTGAAGTCACCTGATTGAAAGCCTACTCATTTAGGCTTCTTCGTTTTGCTAGTTTGTGCTGCAGCCAATGAGGGAAACTTATAGGTAGAACTTTTCATTTCATTTTCGTTTGCTTTTTTTCTACTTTTCTTGCTTGGATGGTTTGGTTTTCTCTCCCTCCTTGAAAGTGCCAAGAAAAAGGGCTGGAGGATCCTTGAAGAAAATGCAAGGAAGAAACACGTGTTAAGGACACGCAGAACAGGAGCTGCAGAACACGGAATAGTCCTATTTCAGAAGGGGCGGGGGCGCAGCCAGGGACAGAACCAGAACCCGAGGGTCCGCAGCAGGTGCTCTGGGTCTGCCGCGAGCGCCGTGTTCACTGCCACCTCCCAGGCCCTGTCGTCCCGCACACGCGGTCCTTCCCCGCCCCTTGTTTCGCCTTCCTCGCTGTCTCCTCCATGACTTGTTTTTAGTTCTGCTTCGCAGCTTCTGCTTAGTCACAGTAAGTTCCTGTTTCCAGGTCGCTCGTGACCCTGTGGCTCACACACTCCGGCCCAGCCTCACTCCGCGTTCACGTGCAGCGAACACCCCAGACCCCACTGTTTCCCTTGCGGGTGTCACTACGGGGAAGCCCCGCCCACCCGGCGCTTCTTCTCACGCCCCGCCCCCCACGGGCAGCCTATGGCGTGGCTGCACTTGAGTCCTCTCTGTTCCGATCCGCTGTGATTAGAAGTTCAGGCAAAAAAACAAACAAAACTGGATGCGCGTCCACAATGATTGGTGGACCTGCCTGCTATTCAGCGGGTCCGGGACGGGGCCCGAGAATTGGCATTTCTAACAAGTTCCCAGCTGGCCGCTGACGGTTCCTCTGGACCCGGGCACAACACTGCTAGATTCTCCGCTATTGCCGCCCCTCCGCACCCGTGCTGGGCGGGGCCTGGGTCTCTTAGCAACGCGGGGGGCAGGACCAGCGCCGTGATTGACGTCTCCAGTACAACCTGTACTCTTCCTTCTCCAAACTTTCCACCCAGTTCTCTTCCTGATGTTCCTGAACCGTGGCGATTGGAGAGAAAGATGAGAAGCCAGAAAAGAGATTTAGAGCAAGAAAAAGGTGCTCCCCGCGCCTCTGGAGGGGGGGGGGGGGATATCGTAAGAAATCACAGTGCTGGTTCGCTTCTAGGTCCCGGCTTCACGGCGCGTGAGGTCACAGAAAACGAGGGAGAAGGACGACTCCCGACTTTTTCAGGGAGGAGCGCTCCACTGCAAAGGGGAAGCGTAGTGTACGTCTGTCACACTAGTATATGTACAGTGGGGCCTTGACTTACGAGTTTAATTCGTTCCGAGACCGAGCTCGTTAACTCAAATTACTCTATCAACTCAATGCAAAAAATCGGCTGAGAGACAGCTGGTGTCTCAAAAAACTCGTTAGTCGGGACACTCGTAAGTCAAGGCCCCATTGTATTTACAGTTCAGGCGCTCATGCAAGAGCAGCTTTACTTTTAGGATCCATTTACTTTGGTGAAAGTGAAACGTCAAGATGTTGCCATGAAGGCAGTGCATTAGCAAAGGAGGCTGCCTGTGAAACACATCGGCGTCTGCTGATGTTTGGAAGGTACAGGCATCTGTTACACTTTCAGGCTTCAAACAGCGCCTACCCTATAAAGGAACGCCCAGTCCCTGCAGTCACCCTGGTTCCCCTGGAGTCTGTGGCCTGGGGCTTGGCGATCACGGAGGAAGTAACCCTTTTCTGGGAAGATTAAAGCTATCACTTGCGCAGCCTTGCCTGATATGAGT